AGGCCACATTAATTTTGAGGACACATGACAAAAGTAAAGCAAGAGGACTGTTTTTGATGTTGCTATGCATGTACTGAACGTCAGTGGCATTATCTGTTCAGTGAACTGTAGTTGGTGGAAAAGACACTAGATATTGTAGCACTTTGGAGGTCAGCTTGATTACTGTAGAGTTGACCTTTTGTTGTGACTGGTCCAACTGTAATGGATTCGGTTTACAATTTGTTTAATTAGGATTATTTTTATTTCATTGTGAGGTGTTATGTAAACCACAGCAAATATCAGTATAGGTACTTGCAGTCATTGAAATAAGGATATATATTTTTTGCTTGTATAAATAAGAAATTTAATGAATAAATTAAAATAATTTTACCATTTTCTTTAGCTATTTTTTTCTTTCAATTACATATATGAGATCAGCAATAAGCAAAGGAGTTTTTACCCCCAGTTCCATGATCTGAAAGGCATTTTGTTGTTGTTTAGTCATTAAGTCATACCCGACTCTTCGTGACCCCATGGACCAGAGCATGCCAGGCCCTCCTGTCTTCCACTGCCTCTCAGAGTTTGGTCAAATTCATGCTGGTAGCTTCGATGACACTGTCCAACCATCTTGTAAGGCCCTGTTCACCTCTTGCCGTTACGTTTTCCCAACATCAGGGTCTTTTCGAGGGAGATTCTCTTCTCAGGAAATGGAGCCTCAGCTTCAAAATCTGTCCTTCTAGTGAGCACTCAAGGTTTATTTCCTTCAAAATGGATAGGTTTGTTCTCTTTGCAGTCCAGGGGATTCTCAAGAGTCTCCTCCAGCACCAAAATTCAAAAGCATCAATTCTTCGGCGGCCAGCCTTCTTTATGGTCCAGCTCTCACTACTGGAAAAACCATAGCTTTGACTATGCGGACCTTTGTCGGCAAAGTGATGTCTCTGCTTTTTAAGATGCTGTCGAGGTTTGTTATCACTTTCCTCCCAAGAAGCAGACGTCTTTAAATTTCATGGCTGCTGTCACCATCTGCAGTGATCATGGAGCCCAAGAAAGTAAAAT